TATTTAAAAGGTGATATTTAAAAGCATCTAAAACAGAAAAGAAATGGCCCCCAAATTCTTAATTATAAAGCTCTATAATTTTCATTTTAATTTGCTAATATTGGGATATTTCAAGTTACTTGGTTTGCAGAAAGATCTGACATGGAAGAATAAAATTACTGAAAGCAGTGTAAACAAAGTCATGATGCCTAGAAGAGATTACTTTAAAGAACAATATGATCTGTACTGCTTCATTTGTGAGCTGCCATCCTGTACTCCTAGCTGCCTACTAGACATTTCTACTCAGATGGCATGTCCAATTAAAAAAAGCATGTCCAATGCTCCACTGGCATGTCCAATTAAGTACTCCTGTACTGGAATTTATCACTTCCTCCTCTCCTCAGAGAACAAATCCAGTATTTCTTTTTCCTGTAGTTTTTCTTATTTATTTAACAAATGTTTATTGAGCACTCATATTTCTTAGGAAATATAGATACAAATATAATACAATTAGTTCTCAAGAGTTCACAATCTATTCATGCATATAGATGGAACAATTAAAATTATATAATGAAATGTCACATGTACTAAAGATGTAAACAAAGTGATGTACTTGGCCAAGAAACGGCAAGCCATTTTACTCCATGGTAAACTTCCCAGTAAAGGTGACATTTTAATATGGGCCCTGATGAAACTATCCAAGCAAAGAAAGGAAGAAAGAAGTGCATTCTGGGAATAGAAATCAACATGATAGAAAGTTTGAAAGTTTATGAATTCCCAAAGAGTTTATAGTCTTATAATTGCTATTGTGTGGGATACATGATATAGAGTGATATAAGATGAAGTTGTGTAAGTAGATTTGACCTAAATGACCTAGGAATAAAATGGACATTGATACCAGCAGATAATTATTCCTACAGAGAATAAAAATTACCCTTTTGATCTCCTTGTTCAAAATGTCCAGGATAAGTAGAAGCCCAAGGCCACTGCAAGACACAGCCTCTGATTCTGATTTCTCTCAACTTTGAAGATTGCTTAATATTTTTTAAGAGGTTAAAGAGGCTGATTTAGTTGCAAAGACAACAAAGCTGGAAATAATGTAAGTCAAGACAGTTCAGGTGACAGCTGTATTAGCTTTCTATTGCTGTGTAACAAATTCCTACAAACTTTGTGGCTTAAAACAATACATATTTACAGTTCACAGTTCTGTAGGTCAGAAGTCTGGGTAGGTCCAATTGGTTTCTCTTTGTGGGCTCTTACAAGGCTTAAATCAAGGTGTTGATCAAGTTGCATTCTCATCTAAAGGATCTGTAGAAGAATCTACTTCCAAGCTCATTCAGATCATCGACAGGATACACTTCCTTGTAATTGAAGGACTGAGATCCCCATTTTCTTGCTGGTTATTGACTAGAGATTGGTCTCAGCTCCTAAAGGCCCCTTTCAGGTCCTTTCCATGGAGTCCTCCTCATCTTCAAAGCTACGAACCACAGTCAAATCCTTCTCATGCTACCAGCTGGAGAAAGCTCTCTGCTTTTAAAAGGCTCATGTGACCAGGTTAGGCCCAGCAGGATAATCTATTTTAAAGTCAACTGATGAGTAACCTTAACTACATCTACAAAATTTATTTTGCCACGTAACCTAGCATAATTATGTAAGTAATACTAGAAACGGAAGGGTCCATGGAATCATCTTACAATTCTTCCTACCACAATAGTTGACTATGAGTATTGACATATACTTGTATAATGTATTTTATCAGGCCACAAAAACCTGAAGGTTAACACAGAATGTTTATATAGTTCTGTCTCTACCTACTTTGTGAAAACTATGATCTTCTCAAATTCCTCCTACCTCTGAGATTCCTTAGGGAGAATTTTATTTGTGCCTCCAAAAGTACCCTTAAGTGCCTTTTTCTTGCCTTTCTTTTTCAGATGTTTCATTGCCAAATTGCCATTTCTTGGCAGTCAAGAAAAATGTACTGAGCTGGGCATGATCCTAGTTGTAATAAACAAAGCAGCGTTCCTTTTCTGCAAGGAGCTTACATTCTCAAGTGACACATACATATATATAAGATAATGCAAATACTGATAAAAATTATGAAGATCAACAAGATACTAAATTAGCAAACCAAATTCAGCAACATATTAAAAGAATTATACACCATGAATGAGTGAAATTTATTCCTGGAATATGAATGGTTTAACAACTGAAAGTTAATTAATGCGATACACCCCATTAATAGAATGCAGGGACAAAATTACATGATCACCTTAATACAGGAAAAAGCAGTTGACAAAATTCAATATACTTTCTTAATAAAAATCACTCATAAGGCCGGGCACAGTGGCTCATGCCTGTAATCCCAGGACTTTGGGAGGCCCAGGCAGGCAGATCACCTGAGATCAGGAGTTCGAGACCAGCCTGGCCAATATGGTGAAACCCCTTCTCTACTAAAAATACAAAAATTAGGTGGGAGTGGTGGCATGTGCCTGTAGTCCCAGCTACTCAGGAGGCTGAAGCACAAGAATTGCTTGAACCTGGGAGGCGGAGGTTGCAGTGAGCCAAGATAGCGCCACCTCGGTGACAGAGTGAGACTCAGTCTCAAAAAAACAAAACAAAACAAAACAAAAAAAACCACTCATACACTAGGAATGGATGAAAACTCCCTTAACATGATAAAAACCATATATAAAAAACCCACAGTTAATGTCATACTCAGTGGTGAAAGACCAAAACCCTTTCCCTTAAGGACAGGAACAAGGTAAGAATGCTTACTTGGGCCCACTATCTATTTAACATATTCTTTAATTTGGGATCATTAAGCTGGAGAGCACCCCTTCAATAATCAAGAGAGACACAAGATGGAAATAAAGATTTTACCTCTTGCAGGTCGTGACAGGTACATGGTATGACTGAAGGCCATACATATGAAAGTCAGAGAATGCAGGTAGCGGGAGAGGAAGAGGGACCCTTGGGCTAATACCTTTACTGGGTCTAGAGCATTATCCAAACAGATTTCTCTCAGGGAGTTTTAATTGATGGGTTTAAAACAAGCAGGTAAGAGTTCCGAGGTCATGCAACATAAAATCATCAGAATTTACAACATAGTATTGGAAGTTCTAGCCAGAGTAATTAGTTAAGAAAAAGAAAGATACGTTATACAAATTGAAAAGGTTTGAAGATGGCATGATTTGAAGATGGCATGATTTTATGTGTAGAAAACTCTGAAGATTCCACAAAAATACCCAGAGCTAATAAAGGAATTCAGGAAAGTTGCAGAATATAAAATCAATACACAAAAATTAGTTGCATTGCTATACACTAACAATGAACAATCCAAAAGGGAAATTAAGAAAACAATTGTACTTAATAATTGCATAAAAATAAAATACTTAAGAATAAATTTAACCAAGGAAGTGAACGATTTGTACACTGAAAACTACAAAACACTACCAAAAGAAATTAAGATATAAATGAATGGTAAGACATTGCATTGGATTGGAAGACTTAATACTGCTAACAGAATAATGTCATCCAAAGTGATCAACAGCTTCAATGTAATCCCTATAAAAATCCTAATAGTGTTTTTTCTAGATAATAAGAAAAACTCATCCTAAAATTCATGTGGTATCTCAAAGGATCCCAAATAGCAAATAAATAAATAAATAAATAGACCAAAGTTGTAATACTTTCTGATTTTAAAAGTTACTACAAGTCTACAGTAATCAAAAGAATGTTATACTGACATAAAAACAGATATATAGACCAATGGAAGAGAATAGACAGCAAAGAAATAATATGACCAACTGATATTCAACAAGAGCAAGCACCAAGACCATTCACTGGGCAAAGGACAGTCTTTTCAACAAATGGCTCTGGGAAAACTGCATGTCCATATGCAAAAGAATGAAGATGAACCCTTACCTACACCACACTAAAAAATTCACTCAAAATGGATCAAAGACCTAAACGCAAAAGCTAAAAATATACAATCATTAGAAGAAAACATAACACCTACAAGAAAATCTTCATGACATTGCATTTGGCAGTGATTTCTTGGATATGATACTGAAAGCATAGGAAACAAAAAAATAGATAAATTGGACTTCATCAAAGTTCCTAACTTTTGTGCATCAAAGGACACTATTAAGAAAGTGAAAAGACAACCCACAGAAAGGGAGAAAATATTTGCAAATCATATATCTGATAAGGGATTAATATTCAGAATATATAAAGAACACCTACAACTCAACAACAAAAACCCAATTCAAAAATGGGCAAAGTATTTGAATAGAAAGAAATAGAAAATTTTCCAAAGAAGACGTACTGTATAAACACATAATAAAATGCTCAATATAAGTAGCCATTAGGGAAATGCAAATAAAAACCACAATGTGGTACCACTTTACACCCATTAGGATAGTTATTATTAAAGCAAAGGAAAATAGCAAGTGTTAGCTAGTATGCAGGCAAATTGCAACCCATGCTTTGTTGGTGGGAATGTAAAATGGTGCAGATTATGTGGAAAACTGTTCGGTAGTTCCTCAAAAAGTTAAACATAGGATTACCACATGATCCAGCAACTTTATGTCTTGGTATATACCCAAAAGAATTGACAGCAAATGTAGTCCTAGCTACTCAGGAGGCTGAGGTGGGAGGATCACTTAAGCCCAGGAGACTGAGGCTGCAGTGAGCTACGGTTGCACCACTGCACTGCAGCCTGGGTGACAAAGCAAGACCCTGTCTCAAAAAAAGGTGAAAGAAAGAAAAGAGAGGGAGAAAGAAAGAAAAGAGAGGAAGAAAGGAAGAAAAGAGAGAAAGAAAGAAAGAAAGAAAGAAAGAAAGAAAGAAAGAAAGAAAGAAAGAAAGAAAGAAAGAAAGAAAGAAAGGAAGGAGGGAGGGAGGGAGGGAGGGAGGGAGAGAGGCAGGGAGGGAGGGAGGCAGGGAGGGAAGGAAGGAAGGAAGGAAGGAAGGAAGGAAGGAAGGAAGGAAGGAAGGAAGGAAAAAAAATTGAAAGCAAGATCTTGAAGAGATATTTGTGCATCCATGTTCATAACAGCATTATTTACAATAGCCAAAAGGTGGAAGCAACCCAATTGTCCATTAATAATTGAATGGGTAACAAAATGTGGTATACACATACCATAGAATATTATTCAAGCTGAAAAAGGAAGGAAATTCTGATACATGTTACAACATGAATGAACCTTGAAAACATTATGCTAAGTGAAATAAGCCAGACACAAAAGGGCAAATATGGTATGATTCCACTTAGGTGAGGTATCTAGAATAAGCAAACTTACAGATACATAAAGTAGATTACAGGTTCCAGCAGTTGGGAGGAGAGGGGAATGGGGAATTATTTAATGGACACAATTTCTGTTTGGAATGATGAACAGTGGTGATTGTTCAATATTGTGAATATACTTAATGCCACTGAATTGTACACTTGAGAATGGTTAAAATGGGAAAGTTTATGTTATGTATATTTTACCACAGTAAAAAATATAAAGAAAATGAAATAGGGTAATGTGATGGAGAATGACTGGTGCATGTGATTTTGGTGAGCAATGTCAAGAAAGGCTCTGAGGTGACATCTTAACTGAGTTTCACTTATTACAGCTCTATAACAAATTATCCCAAAACATAGTGGCATAAAATAATCAGTTTTTGTGGTCATGGATTTGTGGGTCAGGAATTTGGACAGGGCACAGAGGGCATAGTTGTCTATGATGTCTGCCTGGTGCTCAGTTGGAAGGCTTGAAGGCTGGGGTTGAAGTCACCTATAGGCTCACTCAATTACAGATCTGGCAGTTGACCCTGGCTATCTGCTGAGTCCCTAGTTTTGCTATAGGCCAAAACATCCACAGGTTGTCTCCCCAGATGGCCTGGGCTTTCTCACGGTATGGTGGCTGGGTTCCAAAGGTGAGCATCCTGAGAGAGAGTCAGGTATCAAGTGACATCTCACTTCTTATAACCTAGCCATTGAAGTCACTCACTGGCACTCTGTCAAATACTATTCATGGATGCAGTAAAAATGTCCCAACCAGATTGGGAGGTCGAATGGGAGAATAGCCTTCACCTCCTACCAGAGACTAGCAAGGTTCTGGAAGAACATTTGGGACTGGGAATATTGCTGTGGCCATTTTTGGAAAATAGAATCTCCCACAGTTCTGAAGGATGAGAAGAGGCAACCATAGAAAGATCTGGGAGAAAGAGCATTCCAAGAAGAAGCCACAAAAAAGACCCCTCTCCTGCAGCCTCTCCTGTCTCAGAAAAGGCCTGTCATCAACTTTTGAGATCTTTTGTTACTTGTGTTACAAAGCAGGGATGTTCCCTTTGCCTTAAAGGACTGATAGAGATTTTTTTAAAGAAACAGCTCTTTGAGAAATTTTCCTCGGTCTTTATTACTGTTCCTTCTTTCTGTAGTTCAGGCAGCTGAGAAAGAGGATTGTATAAATATCAAACAGGATGTGGATATTCAAAATCATGCTTTACTTCAGCTATTGGCCCTCTGCCCTTCACATTTGCTACAAATCCACTTTCACGTCTTTTCTACAAGTTATTGACCCGTCATGCAGAAACCACCCATAACTGCCTGTTTCCTTTTTTGATAGTTGACTGCTGACAGCTTTCAAGCCACCCCTTCTTCCTTTCTATACTACATCTGGACAGCTGATAAGAAAACTTGGATGCTCTCTCCCTTGGTGTCCTAGCAAGGTGGGGGTGGGAGTTGTTCAAACTATATAACCTCTACCTTGCATGGGAAACCCTTATCCCAGTCCAGTCCCCTAACCACCATAAAACTCTAAGCTAGAAACCCCTCCCTGCTTTCTCTCAATACATTTTCGGACTAGTTTGGGAACCTGCCATACTTTACCTATGAGTCTCATTGTGTGAATAATAAACCTTCTTACTCTTTTGGTGTGTGTGGAGTTATCAGTCTTGACATCTAAACCCAATTTTGGGTGATTGTGGGGCATCCATCCTGCCATCCCACCACCCCAATGTGAGTCCTTGATTAAGCACAGCTCATGATTTCAACCGGAAATCTTCACACACAGATGTTAGGAATCAAATTGTTTCCTTATAGAAATTCTGGCTCTACTACGAAAGCACAGTGTAAAATTAAAACCATGCCTACTTGCTGGATTGGAACAAGACATACTGTTAAACCATGCATAATTACTTTGCTTCCTGTTCTTTTATTCTGTGGTCTATCAGTACTAGAAAGTGTTGGCAGTTGCTAAAGGTTTAAGAAATATGGCAGAATAAGTTAATGCTGAGAAAAAAAATAAATCCACTAACATTTCCTCCTGTCAACTATAATTATTAAATTTTTATTTCTGTCCAGCTGATGGTAGAGAGTTGTTCCCAGGAAAAATAGTTCGATACAACAAGAGAAAGGTCAGAGACATGTATCTATCTCTGGATTTATTGCTGTGAAGATAATGTGGTGAGGGGATGGAATGGGGGACCAACATGAAAGACCTCACAGTGGGATGGGACCTATATCTATATCCTGTCTTGAACACATCCTGTGCCTCAGATAGGCCCCTCCAGGCCATGGATGAACCCACCCCTGAATAGAGGTGAGGGGATTCATCTTGATTGTGGCCTCTGAGAAATGTAGTTCTGAGGAGAATAAACAGGGCCAAGGGAAATCTGGAACGACAGTTCTGAGGAGCTGATGGCCCCAGCACTGCCCAAGAAGACTGAAAATTAAAGGATGGGTCTATTGGTGAAATAAGGTATTTTCAGGGACCTCTTTTGTTTGTGTCATTATTTTCTTCACTGCGTCTCTTGGCAGAGTCCCAGCAAGAGAGTAGTACTATATTAATTGAAGAAAGTATAAACAAAGGTCAGTGGGACGTGAGCATTTAGCAATTATAGAAAAACATGAATACTCCTGACCCTGAAAGAGCAAGGGCAAAAGAAAAGTATATTCGTTTCCTATGAACACCGCAATAAATTGCCACAAATATGGTTGGTTAAAACAACAGAGATTTATTCTCATTAGTTTAATGCAGAAGTCTGAATTCAGTTTCACTGGGCCAAAATCAAGGTGTTGGCAAGTTCCAGGGAAGACACTATTCCTTGCCTCTTCCAGCTTGTGGTAGTTGCCAGCTTTCCTTGGCTTGTGGCTGCATCACTCCAATCTCTGCCTCCATTGTACCCTCCTCTTCTGTGTCTATCAGCAAATCTCTTTCTGCCTTCCCTCTTACAAGAATACATGTGCTTGCTTTTAGAGTCCACCCTGCTAACCAGGATAACCTCCTTATCTCAAGATCCTTAATCATACCTGCAAAGTCCTTTTTTTGACAAATAATATTCACAGTTTCCAGGGGTTAGTGTAACCAGACCCGGGGGGACGGGGAATAATACTGTGACTTGTCTCTTGTCCCACCCTATGCAGTTAAAAGGGTTCAAAACATGCCATCCCAAAATATGCTACTCTGGGATATTGACTATTTTGAATTAAAGGCACTTGAAATACAGCAGGTGTAAGAAGATCACTCTGACCTTAAATGCAGAAGATAAAATCCCCATGTGAAAGATGTCCTCCCTATACAAGAAGGAAAATTTAATTCTTGTCATCAAGAATGAGAAGTTGAGGCTGAGGGAAATCTATACAAACCCTGTTAAATTAATCCTTATCTTCCTAGTCACTTCTCCACCCAATTAACTTCTCTAGCCCAACCCCCTTTGCCTTGTCACATTTTCACAAGTTACTACTCTTTGTCCAATTCAGTATATAAGTGTTCAACTTTAACTGTTTCCTTTGGTCTTTATTTCCTTATGAAGGCTCTGTGCCACAAAAAAACTTGTATTAAATAAACGTGCATGTTTTTCTCCATTGATCTGACTTGTGTCAATTTAATTCTTAGGCCCAGCCAAACAAACAAACAAACAAGTACCCTAAGAGGATAGAGGTAAAGTTTGCCCCCCTGCCCACAGAGTCCATAGAGATCAGCCTTTTGCTGGGGCTCAGAGGAGAGTAAAGAATGCACGTGGAGGGGCAAAAAGAAAGAACCATGCAAAGCTGTAACTAGGTGTGTAAGGAAATGAGGCACAATGGGAGTGTCACTGAGGCAATCTATCATCCATCAACCATTCACTCATTTACTTAACAATATTTATTAAACCTTCGAGTTGGGGGCACCAGGCACCAGAGCACTACTGACTGATGAGAGCTCAGCCCACAAGAAGCTAACAACACAATCTGAAAAAGATAAGCACAAACACAGGGCACCCAAAGATAGAGGATAGTAAGCATCCAGAGAGGGACTTAGGTTAATGTTGCTGAGTGCAGAAAAGAGGGGAAGAACTTGCAGTGAAGCTGAGAAAGACTGCTTTAACCAGGCTGCTTCTCTAATGACTGCCAGGCTCTGCCAATATAATGAATACAGCAAAGTAGAAGCAAGTTTGTTGCAAAAGGAAGAGAGGCAAAGAATGCGATCTCTAATATGTAATTGTGGAGACAGAGGTCCTAACCCTATTACGTCTGTAGGTTCATGTACATATGTGTGTGCATTCATAACCACAATAATCAATGGATGGGGTATTCTGTGTAAGTGACCCAAGAAAGAAAGCAAGGAGGAAACCACAACACCTTTTATGACTTAGTTTCTGAGGTCACACACTGCCACATCCACTTTTTTCTATTCATTAGAAAGGGATCACTAAGTCCAGGCTACACTCCAGAGAAGGGAAGTTAAGCTCCACCCTTTGAAGAAAGTATCAGAGAATTTGTAAACATCTTCCAAACCACTACTGTACCTACCTGTTGCGAGGATTAGATAAGACAAAACTTAGAACAGTGCTGGGTTCACGGTAAGTACTACCTGTATAAGCTAATTTAGCTAATATTATTCTCCCAGTGTCCAGTCCAGGCTTTCCTGACAAGTTCTCCCTTCTGTGCAGAAGTTCCTGAAATTTGAGAAGAGACCCTTTGTGTCTGCTGCTGAGGTGGGAAGGAGTACACAGCCTGCTCACTCACCAACATTTAGCCAGATTTCATGACTTAAATGAAAGTTGGGGGAGTATTTGCCTTATCAGTATATCATAACTTTATTCATTTTCTAATATTCCCACAGGAAGACTTGGAGTATTATCTCCAATTCTGGAGATGAGAAAAACCGAGGCTCAGGTCTTATTATGTAATATCATATAACTAGTTATAACTGGCTAGTAGTACCACAGAAACTAGAAACATGGTTTTCCTGAGCCCGCGGCCTTTTCCCAGACCATGCCACTTGGTGAAACTAATATTTTAGTTTCACATACCTAATCAGTAAGTTACTTAGCATTTCGTTTCCTCAAATGTCTCTTGAGGCAGGGAGGTTTCAGGAAAGAGTTTCTTCCATTTACCAATGGAGTTTAGGTCAGATGGGAATAGATACAGAGATTCAGCAGACACGTCTTGTGTCCCAGACTTGACCTTTATTCACTGACACTAGATGCTATATCCTTGGTCCATCTTTAAGTCCCAGAAGGAGGTGAACCTTGATCTTTGTAGGGAAGGAAGGGAGATTCCAATAAACAGGTGGATGGTCATTTTTAACATGGGAATCCTAGGAGTACCAGAGTAGGACCAGTTATTTCTTAGGACTTCATCCTTTTCCAAAAGAGAGTAAAGAGGCAATGGAAATAACTGCTTTGCCCACACCGATTAGAAGTGGAGAAAAAGATGAAAAACTGGGCTTTCGCGCTAGAGCTTGGGTTATATTGTTTATTGAAGGGGGTCATGATCAGATGTTTTGGGGCAAGAGAACTCTGACAGCAATGTGAAAGTAGGAAAAGGAAGATTCAAGGCAGAGGCCAGTTTAGAAAGTTTTGGCAAAGTTGTGGCTGAGAGCTCATATTTGAATTAAGTCAGTGACAGGAGCAAAGGGGAGGAGATATTTCAGAGACGAATCTATAGGACTTGGTGACCAACTACGTGTGTGGGTAAGAAAAAGAGAAGAGTTGTAAATAACACCAGATTTTGAGCCAAAAGGTTGGTATAGATGGTGAGGTAATTACCCTATTGGCATTTGGGACAGTTCCTGCCATGCCAGACTGTACCAGACCTTTTAGGATGTTTATCATCATTGACTTCTGCTCACTAAATTTGAGTAGCACTCCCCAGCTATTGTGACCACCAAAATGCCCTCTTTTGGCTAGGTGACACCACCAAACATGGTAGCCAATAGAAAAAGCTGGATTGAAGATGATTAGCTCCTTTTTGGACACATTAGTTTGTAGTGCCAACAGAATGTTGATATGGATCTGGAGATAACTAGGAAGTAGCTGGAAATGTGGGTCTTGAGCTCAGGAGAAAGGCCCTGTGCAGAGATGTAGGCCTAGTACACAGAAGTAATGGTTTAAGTTGCAGCAGAAAGAGACTAGAGAGAGACAGAGAAAAGATGCTAAAGACAGAACTTTGGAAAATGTCTGTACTCAAGAAACACAAAGAAGAGTCAAATAATGAGAAGTAAGTAAGGTAAGTCAGAGAACTAGGAGGGTAAAGCCCTCAAAAGCTAGATGAGAAAATTCCAAGGAAGGATTGGTGAGTGGTATACCATGCTACTGAGTTAGAATTTGTACCAGGAAGAATAACTTTACCAATTAGGGGTTAGTGGAGTCCTCAGAAAAGTTAAGTTTTGGAATAAATATGAACAGTCATGTGGTTCAAAAATCCTAAAGTATAAAAATGAAAAACTTATCACTCCTACCCCTGTTCTCCATCTGTCTAAGAACCCCAAGTAACCACTTTAATTATTTTGTTCATCCTTCCAGAGCTTTGGTAAAGACATAAGCAAATATAAATACACATTCTTGTTTTAATTCTGTTTTTGTTTTTTTTTTTTAACATAGAGTGCTATATACCTGCTCTTTTTCACTCAATAACATGTTCTAGAAATCTTTTCATATAGAGAGTTCCTTCATTCTTTTTCATTAGCTGTTTGTCATTTAGGGTTCTCTAGAGAAATTTGTAAGTTTGCCAGATATTCATGGAGTTACTACCCCTACCATTAACATATGAAATTGATTCTTTCTCCACAGTCTTGACAAAGACTATGTTGTCATATTTAGGAATTTTTGCCTATCTGATTGCTGAAATGTTATCAGTGTAGTTTTAATTTTCCTTTCCCTAAGATAGGATATAATTAAGTTTCAGAGAGATAGGTCAAATTTAAGAGGCTATGGAATAAGTGGATGGCAAGGAAGAGAATGAAGGAAATAGTAAAAGTCCAAAGAAACTGAAATCTGACTGTATTAAAAGGAATTAGCTTGCTGGCTAAGGTAGCATGTAGGTTTAATGAAGATGTTTTTAAATAGTAGAGACTTATCTAGACCTGTTTAAAATGATAATGAAATAAGTCACTAGAAAAGGAGAGACTGAAAATTGTAGAGTTTGAGGGCAAAGTCACACAGGAGGCAGAAAGAAATGGTATCTCTGGCAGTTGGGATGGATAGGAGCTAAGTTGTGGGTGTGAACACTGTGAAGGACAGAAGGTTGTGGGTGGGGAGCAGATGGCAGGCACCTTCTAAAGGCAGAGGAGGAGGAGGACTTTTGGAACAAGAATTAAAAAGAGAAGGATTAGATTCACCAGTGGGAGGAGAAAAGCACAGGCTGCAGATGCTACATCACTCACAGGCGTGGGGATTCCTGCCTGTCAGATCCCAGGGGTGCAGATAAAAAGCGAATGTTTGCTGGATGATTCATACACGTGGATATTGATTGATTCAATAAATATTTACTGGGCATCTACTCTTTCAGGCACATTGATGTCACTCAGGATTAACTGAGACATGAGATAGAGTGGAAGGCTACAAGCCAGATAACAGATGTATGCCAGATGTTTGTATGAGAGATTAGGAGTTGTATAGGTGATGGTGACAAAGGGTAATAAGGGGTACAAGAGCCAGAGAGTTTGCTCCTTATTGTGCCTTGTACCTCAAGGGAGATGTGGTTTTAGAAACCTGTAGTAGAAATACACCAGTGTGCTTGAAATTGGTGGAGGCAATCTATGGGATACTACCACAGTCTTTGGACTCAGGAGAATAAGAACTCTGACCTTGATAAGGAAGCAGTATCTGAAGAGAGTGAGATCTGGGAGACAGCCTGAAGACAGAAAGGGTGTTCTGGGAAGAGATGAGATTTATTTAGTTTCAGAGGTACTGTGGAAACACTAGGAAGAGGACGGGTCCCAGGGAAAAGAATCACTGAGCAGTAGGATGATAACAGCGGAGGTGAAAATTCTTCATTTGAGCAGTGACCAAAAATGACCTGAACGTGAGGCAGGAAAGAATTAGCTGGTTTCATTTGTTCTAAGAGGAATGCTGGTATACTTTTTTTAAAAAGTTTATTGCAGAAAATTTCAAATAGACACAAAATAGAACAGTATGGTGAACTCTTGTGTATCCTTCACTAACATTCATTCAACAATGATCAATACTTTGCCAATCTTGTTCAGCAATCCCTGCCCCTACTTCCCACTTTTATTTATTCCTGAAGTATTTTAAAGTTCCAGACATTTTACTATTTGACTTGTTTGCATGTAAGAACTTTTTCTTCCTTTAAACATAACCATGATGTCATTGTCACAACTAATAAAATAATTATATATATATTTTATAATATTGTTTCAATAATAGCAGACTCAAGCATTTGCTAGAGATTCCAGATAAACAGGAAACCTGCAAAGAAATGCAGATACATGGTACAAGATTAGTTAGTTCTTAGATAATAGCATTAAAAATTGTATTGTAAAAGAATATTAACATAGGAAAAATTTTAAGATCAATATGTAAACATTTAGTTAAATATAAATTATAACATTTTTGTTAAGCATAAACATAATACACATAACCTTTCTCTGTATATATCATATATAGATATAAACATATAAATATCTACATTGTAAAAGGGCTGAAAGAGCATATACTAACATGACCAGCGATGATCTGAGCGGTGTTTATTTTTTGCTTTTCATCCCTTTATGCTTTTCAGGGTGTGTATTTGTGTGTATTGCTAAGGACAGAGAAGGGGAGGGGTTAGCAGGGAAAATGTTGGGGGAAGGATCGAGCCTTCTTTGATGAGCTGAATTATTATGATAGTGACAACCTTTATCCAGTGGCTCATCTTTCTTCAATAGTAGCAGGACAAGCTGCACACAAAACCTCTCAGACACCGAGCTGTACAAGGAAGGGCTTTATTCAGCTGGGAGCATTGGCAAGCTACTGCCTTAAAATCCGAGTTCTCCGAGTGCACAATTTCTGTCCCTTTTAAGGGCTCACAACACTAAAGATTTCACATGAAAGGGTCGTGATTGATTTGAGCAAGCAGGGGGTACGTGACAGGGGCTGCATGCACCGGTGGTCAGAGTGAAACAGAACAGGGCAGGGAGTTTCACAATGTTCTTCTATACAATGTCTGGAATCTAGGAATAACATCGGTTTCTAAGTTATGAGTTGATTTTTAACTACTGGGTTTAGGCCAGGCAGGCCCAGGGCTGTTTCAGGCCTGGCGCCAGGCTGCCTGTCTTTGGTTTTACTTTCTTGTTTTTTCTTAAAACAGGTACTGAGTACAAAACAATATAAAACAATATGAGGGGGTCTCTGTCCTCACAGTCCCACAGCCCACAAATCAGAAATCTAGACGAATGTAATAGGCTTGGAAAATACATGTTAAGTGAATAAAATCTAACAAAAAAAGGACAAAGGCTGCATTCTTAATTATCACTTTGTTAGAAAAAGAAGTGAAAAGAAGCCATTCCTGTTGGACAATCCCCGCAAAACGAGACCCACTACACAGACAGCACTTTACCCACCCAGCTAGCCTTTAG